TTTGGTTGATGTGGTCGATAACGTTGCCGATAAGCGCCGTGTGCATCTGCACAGCCACAGCATGCGTGTAGCCAGCCTGGCAGCGCAGAGAGTAGTGTCTTAGTGGTAAGTATGTTGGGGAGAAGGGGTGTGGGGGGCAGCAGATCAAGGCCCCTGTGGTGAGGGAGGGAGTGGAAGTTGGGCTGGGGCTAGAGTAGGCACTGCCCATTGGTGGGGGAGGGGAAGGGGGGGGGGAGACACTGTGGGACCAAGCCATGAGTGGCTTGTATGGGGGGTACAGGAAGGGGGGGCTTCTGCTGCTATGTCCAACCCTGGGGAGGCATGGGGGGGTGTTTACCCCCAGATCTGTGCATGGGGCAAGGGTGGGCTGCCGCTGCAGGAGGGGGACAGTGCTGGGCTCTTCACACCAACTTTTGTTGAAACAGGAGAAGTTTCTCTGCAACTGCAGTTCTCTCTGGAAGCACTTCATGCCCAATACATCGCCACAAATGAAAATAAGCTAGATTTTTTTAAAACAAATTGCAATCACCAAGTCTCTTTATCCAGACTCTTGCTTAAGACGGTCAATTCTTAAAAATAAATAATTTTAAAAAATCCTTCTGTCTAACATAACATATTTTCCATTTCTTAGAAACAAAAGAAGAGAGTGTACAGCCCATATTTCTGTATGCATACGCGTGTAAGGGGACACATTTCTACCAGCTTGTGTGCAAACGGGCACAGTGGATCTCACGGGACAGGGAACCGGCGCCCGGGGCAGGGACGAGCGGATTGCAGCCCTGCCCCAGCCTTGCTTGGTCACCGCCCCCCCACCCGCCAGTCCTGCCTGCCCACGGGGGTCCTGGGCTGGTCTCCAAGGAGACCCCGCCTCTATGTGCGTCTGTGTCGCACCTGTTCCTACTGGACGTGGCACCAGCGGCAGTAGGGGAAGGCAGGCCTGCTACCCCCGGCTGGTCCCTCCAGACGCCTCCCCCGGAGCCCTGTCGAGGTCCAGACAAACACGGGACGAGCGCGGACACCCCACCAGGCCCCGAGTGGAGCCGGAAGCAGGAAGCGCACCTCTCCCCCCCACTCGACACCGGCTGACGACTAACCCCCCGGCTGCACGGACACCGACCGGAAGAAGCAGAGCCGACGCTGGAAGTAGCGCGACGTCACCAAGGAGGCGGGGCGCCGCGCCGGAAGCGGAGGGGCGGCACCCATGGGAGGGGCGGGGCCCGCGGCCGTGAGGGGTGGGGATGGTGGTCAACCCCGGCCCCGTTGCAGCTCCCCTGTCCCGGGCCGGGGGGGTCGTGCCCCGCCTCCCCCGCGGGGGGTGGTCGCTGCTCCCTGAGGGAAGGCAGGCCCTCACATGTCCCATGCGGTTCTGGCAGCGATGCTTTGACAGCGGCGCCGAGCAGAGCTGGGAGGAGTCCGCCCAGCGCAGGCAGGAAACAGTGAAGAGCCCTTCCCATCACCTGGGAAAGCCACCCCTTTGATTCCTGCCCGGGCGCCAGCATGCTGCAGCTCACCAGGGACAAAGGGAAGCGGATCCGCTGCTAGCCTCCTGCCTGCGCTTCGTTTTCGGCCGCAGCGGTTGCTGGGACCTCGACGCGCCCTGGGACATGCGCGCTTTGGGATTAAAAGTGGTGTTTCCCCCCTGGGAACAGATTTGTCCCCCCGTTTCTTCTCTAATTGTGGGGTTTAGATGCGCAAGAAGTTATCCGAGAGGTGAGGAGGTTTGTTTCCGTCTTTAAAACCGCGAATGATTTGCAGAAACATCACTCGACTGGGCTGGGGAAGTCGATTTGCTATAAAAGAAATGCAGCGCCACTTTTCTCTTTAACTGTTGATTTGCATCCACTTCTGGACTTCGGCGTAGACACCTAGGAGAGGGAGGCGGGAAACGGGTGAAGCGGTGGGACTTGTGAATGAAAGTGTCGGTAACTTTCAGTAGTGACGAGACCCGGCAGAGCTGTATTTCCCTTGCTGGCGTTCGTCACTGGAGTGTCTGGGACCTTCTTTGGTTGGAGGGAATCAAAGCGCTTCGCGCGGCGGCTTCTTCGTCCAAGGGCGCTGCGTTCCCCGGCATGGGTGGCTGCATGTAAAAGGCTCGACAGTCGTTCTGGCAGACTGACTTGTCCAGGGATAGCTAGGCCTTGCCTCCTGGTTATGCTTGAACCCTCTTCTGGAACTACAAAATCACTTCTAGGAGCGAGGGGGGAGCTGACGCTTGATTCACTTTGTGGCCCGTTTGCCTAGCAAAATTTCTGTTTAAAGGCAGCGCTGTACGTGCATGTGAGAGGGAAATCTGAATGCTTTTCTCCTTTGGAAGAGACCGCTATGCTGTGGTCAGGTGATTAAAACCTTC